ACTTTCCTTAGATGTAGGAAGTAATGATGGTTGTCCAAAAATTTGACACTGAATTTTCAGTGAATAAGCATGAATCAGGGCCCGATTAGCAGTTGATTAAGATCAGCAGTTGATTGAGATCAGCAATTGGCTTTTCTCAGACACTTTGATAGTCCAACTCAGTAATGGCCAGTGGCAGTCTGAGATTATAAATCGCAGCAGTGTTTTATGCGATGATAATTAGGGATATGTCTGGTAAACTGATATTTTGGAAGATTATTTAGGCCCTATTAACAACCATTTGCCATAACCCTCTGTTACTAATTAAAGTACTTAAGTATATTAATTCGTGTCAAAATTTTCTAAATGTATTTAGAACAAATAAACTTTATAATAATGTAAATAATCATTCGTAATACTAATCTGTTGGTACTGAGGCTCTATTATGATATTTTTATTTTATGTTCTTAATATTCTTATTATGTCATTCCTCTATTATGATATAGCTATGTGTCTATTATTATATTTCCACTTTTTCGACAGAATTTTATTAATAATTCTCATATTTTTGCGAAGCTGATTAGCAAAACTATTCTTTACCTAAGCAAACACTCATACCGAGTCGTTAACGTTTATTTTTTCATTAACGGTCAAACTTATTTATTATTCTGCTGCTTCAAGGACATCAAAGGATTTGTGGCGGTTACGGTAAACAACTAAGTTTTGAAAGAAATGAAGTGAAAGTATAGTACCAAGCAAAGGTAAAAGCAAGAAATAATCTTTGAAAAATACAGCATCTGTGATAAAGAGCTCTTAGCCATCTACGTTTTTCGCAGCGTAGGCATTTTACAATATACGTGGACCATAAACTCTTGATCTTCGCATTTTCAGAAAGGTCTCAATCAGCTCTCGGCAACGCAGACACTTGAGACTATACATATCACAATTCAGTAAGGATATCAGACATGTTACTGGATCCGACAATATTGTGGCTGACCCTGTATAAATTAACACTTTACCCTGTATAAATAAGATCTATATAGCCTCAACCGACTTTTCTACAGTTATTAAGCAGCAAGCTAAAGATACCCAGTTATCTGACCTACTCTAAGCCCGATACATCACTTCAATTCCAACTTTCTCAATTTAAAACATTACTATGATGTTTGCACTGGAAAAGTTCGACCATACGTTCTAGAGACGTTACGTTACTCAATCTAAAGACATATCGAATTGGTCACGTGAATAGACTGCCAAAAGTCGAAAATTCACAGACACACTCGTAGATCTGTACAATCGTTTAATGTTATTTCTGAAAGATTCGATCACTTTCACCTGGATATTGTAGGACCCTTGCCTCCATCTGAGGGATATTCATACCTTGCCATCTCTGTGGGTAGTTTCTCTCGTTGGCCAGAAGCGATACATGTACGGGGATATTAATGATGACACTGTCGCTCGCATAATTGTTACAGACTGGACTGCAAGATTCGGAGTCCTAAAGACTATAACTGTCGACCAAGGGCGTAGTACTTGTTCTGAGATGCTCGATGGAATAACTTTATCTATACCAGGAGAATATTTACAACCTTCTAACTAAATGCTGAAGAAGGATCCTCCAGTTTTCTTCCAGCATCTATGCACCACATGCGAGAATTATCTCTCGCTTCTACTTCTGCACGTACTAAACCTTTCTGTTTTGTATACACTTCCTTAAAGACTTGTTCTCATGTTTCTGTGGACAATGGCATAGTGAAAGCACCTTTGCTACAGCGGTATAATGGTCGCTATTGCATTATATTATGGTCCCTATCCATAAACACTTCCCCATTCCGATAAAGGGAATAGAAACCGTTATTGCAATTGACCGTTTGAAGTCAGCCTTCACTCGGTATGGAGTATCACCATCAACTCCAATTATTTTTAGTGGCTGTTCACAAATATTCTTCAGCAATAGTTCAACAGCCGCGTATACTAGATCATCCGAATCATCAAGCGAAGTACCATCTTCGCCTCCGAAGAAATCAAGTCTTCTCGTAGCGTAGGGAGAATTAATCTGAAACTTTTCAGATTTTACTTTTTATTTTTAATTTTATTTTTCTGTTCTTTAAAACAATCAAAGCCAGTTGTTTCTGTAAATTTGAAAATTTATGTAGAATTTAATTTTTACTGAGGAACATAGAATTTTGTTAGAAGCAACTAAACGCATAACACGTGTAGAGATATTAAGTTATTTCGAAGCAGGTGAGATGAAAAATGAGCAAGTTCCTCGTCGGGACTCGAACCACGGACCTCTTGAATGCGCGTCGAGTGTGCTGACCACTACACCACAAAGGCATGCTAAGAAGGCGGGAGAAATACCTTATATACTCCCCCTTTTAAAGGGCAACTGGGAATTAGGGGGCCCAGTCGCCAAATGCTGGTGGTGGAGAATCATCATCCACCACCTTTTTAGTTCGGGAGCTACTGTAGAGACATCAGGTATTTTGGAAGCAGGTGAGATGATAGATGAGCCTCGCCATGACTCTTGAATACGAATCGAGCGTGCTGACGACTACATCACGAAGGTATGCTAAAAAGGCGGGAGAAATACTTTATACACATCTATGTAAAAAGTAATATTTAGAATTTTGTAACTTGCGAATGGGAACCAATTTAAAATGTATAAAAAAGAAGGAAAGAAGACAGTTTAGATGGTTATTTACGAGGCCTGGGGCACATTTTATTTTTCTTTTCTTGCCTTTTTCCAACTTTGGTTCTTCGTTTAGGATTATGTACACATGGTTTCCTAGCTAAGACTTTTTGTCAAGGTGTTAGTAATAGCGTATAAAATTATGCTCTGAAATTACCGTTAGAACAAATTATCTTAGCAGTTCTGTATCCTGCTTTAGAATTTTTATGAATATAAATAAATAAGTGTGGATATTTCAAATTGGACTCTGATTTGTATTGTATCAGGAGTGATTTATTTTTGGAATCGAATGCCTGAACTGATGAAAGGTATGAACGAAAATCATACCTTCAACTGAAAAAATTGGTTTCAGTCGTTTGAAATTTATAATGCAGCAAACCGTTTACAAAAAAAAAAAAAAAAAAAAAAAAAAAGGAAAAGTAAGAGCCAATGAGCTAATAATTTATATATCAGGAATTCACAGACTTCTAAGCCATAATACATTACACTTAGGAAGTAGCAAATAACTTAAATTAGATTAAATTAAGGACACTATTTACAGAATACTGTGTTTCTAAGAAATTTATTGCATATGATAGATATGTTTTACTAGAAATCAAATAGAATCTGAAATTATAGATAATTATGTAATTGACCTTCGAAAGAAAGCTAGATCATGAGTATGTAAGTAATTACTTTAATAAAAGGTGATATTGTTTGGAGTATTAAGACGATATACTGAGAGCAAGATTATAGCACGAAATATAAATTATATTAGAAACATTTCTTGATATTTATAGGTCTGCAGAAATAAGAGTGCTTCTTACAGAAATAAGAAGTGAAAAAATAAGAGTGAAGTACAGAAATAAGAGTGCTTCAAATGAATATAACAAAAGATGAAGCATAATGCAAAATTTAAGTAAACATGATCAGAATACAACTAAGAAGGTAAATATTGAAAAATAAGAGGCAACAGTTTGCTCTAAATGCCGAAAAATTTCATGACTATCGAGAGTGTTCTGCGTATGAAGAAAACCTGTCATAAATGCAAAAAGGCAATTATTTTGCTTATCAATGTATAATCTATCAGGCTGATATAAAATAAAGATTGTTTAATTTTAACTATCTAAACTTATGTATTTATATACACAGAAAAGCATGATACATAATTGCTAAACTTAAATCTGTTTTAAGCTGCTTCAAACCGATTCAACTTCTGAAGACAGTATGAAAAAAGCAGAACAACAACTTACAGCACAGAAAAATGATGTAAAAAATTATGAATTCGATACCGTTGTAGAGTCATTAGGATTTTTTTGGAAGCCATTTTTTGGAAGAGATGAAAAATTAGCAACTGCCTTCGCCGGGAATCGAACCACGGACCTCTGGAATACCGGCCCAGCGTGCAGATCCACTACACCACGAAGGACGCTAGGAAAGTAGGAGAAATACCTTATATACTCCACTTTTTAAAGGGTGACTAGGGTTTTAGGGGACCTAGTCGCCAAATCCTTCGTGCGGAGAATCATCATCCACAACCCTTTTAGTTCGGGCGCCTCTTGTAGAGTCATTAAGATTTTTCTGGATGTCAAAGAGATGAAAAATTAGCAACCGCCTTCGCCGGGAATCGAACCACGGACCTCTGGAATACCGGCCCAGCGTGCAGAACCACTACACCCCGAAGGACGCTAGGAAGGTGGGAGAAATACCTTATACCCTGATTTTCTTAGGGAAAATGTTTAGATCAGTTGTTGACCTCCGTTAACTCTTAACATTGGACAGTGAGCAAAGACCTGGAAGTAGGAAAGTGATTAAGTAATTAGAAACCCGGTCAAATATCTAGATTAAATTTGTTGAACTAAAAAAAAAAGGGGAAGATATCACTTTTAGAATTTTGTAAATTGCGAATGATAGTCGATCTAAAATATGTAAAAAGAGATGCAAGTCAGTTTAGCAATTCTGCATCATGCTTTAGAATTTATTGTATATGAATAAATAAATTAAGCACTCTTTATTTTATAAAACTAAAATGAATTTCGACGCTTAAATTTTGCATAATTTCACACTTGCATTTTTGTTCATATGCGTAACAATGTATTACAAGTAAATTATACAACTTTTGTTTCACTATCATTTGTCTACAATCATACGGTATTTTCAATGATGCTATTTTTTCCTTTTGTCTACCACCACGAAATAGATGATGATTTTAAGTTGCAAGCGACCAATTACCACTGAACTTGTGCACAAAGCGGTGAAGGCCAAATTATCAGCTAAATCGCCATTTGTAGCAAACCAGTTTTAGAAGATATTAAGATTCAAGCTGGCATGTGCAAGGAAATCGGTAGGAAAAAGTGCGTGTGCGGCAATTCGAACTTTAGAGGAAAACATTTAGGCCCTTGTGTCTTCAACGTTTAAGTCGCGCGATTATCGCTCCAAAGACTGGATTTCATCCAGAAATATAAACAACTGCGCATCGGAATGCATAGAGATTCTGGCTGAAGGTAAGAAATCTTTTTCCTGTTAAAAGTCAAAAAGTTTTTTTTCCCCGGTAAATTCGATATAGTTTAAATTTTTGTAACTGTCAGATTTTTTAAATAAACGTAAAAATAAATAAAAAAATTTACACAGCCTTTCTATATAAGTATTTTATCTCTGTTTATCGTTTTCGTGAAACGGGGAATTTCCTCTCCAGCAAGTACTGCAGTTATATATAGTGCGATTTACAGTCAATTTCTGATGTATTGGAGAACGATTTCCACTGTTAACTCCAAATCACAGCTAACTGAAGGGTAGTTGAAAAAAAAAATAAAACAAAGGGAAGGAGAGTAAATCATATTTTAATGAACATAAAAATACTATTAATAGTTTAGTAATATTTTCAATAAGTTTATTCTAAAAAGTAAAGTCATTTGCGGAAACTGAATCAGTACTGAAGATAAAAAGAGCATAATGTAATTAACGGAAGAATAAATATATTAGAAATGGAGAATGTAAGTTTAAGAAATGTTAAAATATTGAAAACAGAACTTGACAATGTCACTGAATTTAATTCGTTTAAAAAAGTCAGTTAGAACTTTTTTTTTTCAGCTAACAATTCTTTTAAAACGTTCGATAGTAACAGCGTTTACATATTTCAGGTTACTTAAAATTAAATAACATATTGTTGTCGATGGATAAAAACAGGCCCTTAATAGTACGAAATTTTCTGTAATCAGTCTTGTTACCCTATATTTCTCTTTATCTTTTCGTGTTTTTATAATTTTCTGTAAAAAAAAGTATTAAGGATATAGCGAGTGATGTTTCAAATTAAAATTTGGTTTCTTAATTAATTTCATAACAAAATGTAAATTCAAATCTCGACAGACTGCTCTCAGATTAGCAGGTTGCATATTAAGCGGATAGTCTGATAGAAATTAAATTTGTTTTTTATGAAACAATGGAAAAATTACAACGATAAGCCATCAGCAAATAAATAAAGCTATGCACTGCGCACAAAACAACATAACATAACTATACATATACACAGTGTCTACAAAATTCCTTACGCATTTTATCAACCATTGGTCGTAGATATGTATTTCTACTTGCAAACATGTTTTAAAAGACTCAAAAATTTATGTTTTGCCATTTTTTAACTTAAAGAAATTGATTTTGTCAACATTACGAAATTTAAACTTTTTATACGTTCCTCCACTCCCTGTACTTATATTTAAGAAAGTTTTCGACTTGTTATGAAAACTAAAACAGAAACTATTTCACTGTCGTACGAGAAACAAAATGACGGAGATATTTAATCTCAAAATTTAATATCTTTGACGAAATTTTGAATTTGTGATTTTTTTAATCCTTAAATGCCATTACAGGTAAATTACCGCCAAATCAGTTTCAGTTGGCAGTTTTATCCAATTACCTATAAATTTTAACCGGTAAATAACCGCTAAAATAAATGGTAAATTTAAAATCCTTGAGTGCGCCAAAAGAGGGGGACTATACGACAAGTATACAGGTTTTAGATAATAAAAAAGGAAACAAAGAGAAAATTATGGAAAGATAAAAAACAATTATACTCATTTATGTATTTAATACAAAAAATTGAACAAAACGTATTTGTCCTTTATAAAATGTGGATGTTGGGTTGCTTCGAAACGTGTATCAAGGTAAAGGTAAGGAGGCATGTTTTCAGCAAAGGCTAAAATAAATTCATAAGAAAGTATACAAAAGATATTATATAAGAAAAAGTGACTGAACATCAAAATGAAGAGTGGGCAATAAAAATTCGGCGAATATTCTTTTAATGTACTGTTTTAATTTCAATAATAATGTATAATTTTAAATTTTATGTCTCCAAGTAATAATAGCTTATGGCGTAGTAAATGTATTTGAAATTTCAAACTCTAAAACTTTTCTGTTGGTTTTCAACCTCTTCGCTCCTAGCGTATTATGTATCACACGTCTCACTTTCTCTTCGTACGTCCACCTATCGAATGTGATCTGGGAGCGAATGATCATTGACGATACGGTGGGATCTGATCATATTTCATACACTGAAACAGATCATTTCATAGAAAATTTTAAATGCGAATATCGGAATGCTGCGAAAACTTACTGAAATAGAATCACAAGAGCAGTGATTCTGAACCTTTTTTTGAAAAGCAACCATACCTAGAGCCATGAAATTGTGAATAACATAGTCATCCAACCGAACATGGTCACTTAAAAGCCCGAATTTTGAATTTGTTTTATTATCTATTCCAATATTTGTAAAACTTTAACGAATTTTTGATTAACAAACTCAACGATTTCAAAGCGTGCAATGGCAATACTATACGGGAAAAAAATTTTTTTTTTCCTCCAGTGCATGAAGCAGTGTGTCAGAAATTCTAAAGAAATGCTCTTTTAAAATATTTTGTGATATTGCTGTTGAATTGAATTTTATGGTTAAGCTCGAAAAACGTGATATTTAATAAATAAAGGTAACACACAAAATGTTAAAAAAAAAACCGCCTTTTTGGGCTTGATTTAAAATCTAAAAAGATTTCAGATTTTAATTTTTTTTTCTTTACTTTTTTATCACCCTGAAATTTCCTCAACAGTAAGGGAAATATTCAAACTGAACCTTTTAACTAGCCATTAGAAGAAATATAGAGGAATGATGGTTTTGTTGTTCTTAATTAAACATTAGTATCGTGATCTTTCACCTTTCCATGCTTCTGTGTGTTGCTAACATGTAGTCCGCAACCTCGCTTCTATTTATTGCTTTTTACAAATCTTCTAAATAATTATGGAATACAGGGTTCACGCCTTGCACGGGTTCAACTATAGATTGATCTTTTCATGCGGCAATCATGCAACAAACCTGTTCAGTTATTTGTGTTGCAAGAATGTTTCACCAAGAATCAGAAAGTATTCAACAGGGCCTGCATTTTCCGTTTTCACTTGAAGTCATTTGAAAAATGCGTTAAAGATATTGACTAGGTGGTAATGATATAGCTGTTTCTGGTATCATCATCATATCTTTACTTTTATTTTCTTTTAATTAAAAAAACTTTTTCTTTGTGCGGAAACGAAAAATTTCGTAAATATTTTCTACAAAATTTTATACATTAAATACTACTGGATATAAATCCTTGTAGTGATCAGATTTCATTTAAAGACTATTAAAACATATATTTTGGTAAAAATCTCGATATTAAAATCTTTCAGGACAGGCTTCTGCGTTATTAGAAAACACAAAACGATTTTTGCTGCATTCCATTTAAACTTATTCTCTCGAATTTCATCAGAGATATATTTCTCATTCAATTAATCAGTTCTCACTTCACGGCAAAGCAAATATACATAAAAACTCAAGGAATCTTCCTTAAAAATTGTAAAATAAAAAAAACCCCATAAAACACCAAATACCATCAAAACAGTTAATTTTTTTTTTTTTTTACAATTAAAATTAGGGCTTCCACACTCGGCCAACGGGCAAGAAGGCAGATTTTTCCGCGCACAAAACTGAAATTTTACTTTTGGTCCCACTCGGCAAAAAGATACTGAAGGGGCAGAATCTGATTTAATTCACTATTCTACTCAGTTTCAAATGTAAACAAATGACGGTTCATTAGGCTTAACTCATCACTTTTAAATTGTTGATAATTCTAGAACTATCGCATTCAGATTAACGAAAGGCATAAAAAACTTGATCGGAACATGCAAAATACATAATTTAATCACTTTTAAAGCAAAAAATGCACAATTTAACCACATATAAGAATTAAAAAAACTAAGCTCACCGAATCAGGTAACAGAGTGGGAATGTATATAGAAATTTAGCAAAATTCTTTTCGAAGTTTCTAGTACTATTGGCTATAAACTTAAATTTTCTGGATTTTTATGAAAATTTGGTAAGGCATAAAGACTGGCAAATCTGTTATTTGCAGAGAAGAGAGAAATTCTCCATTTTTTGTAAAAAGCAGAAATTTTTTCAATAACAGTTCTTTATTTATTTTTGCAGATACTATAGGTAGAAGAATTTTTTAGTTCATTTTCAATTATATTGTTGTAGAATTTTTTTTTTCATAAAATAGTGAAATTATTGTTTGCTTTATCAATTTTGGTTATGGTAAATTGCTTTTTTGATCGCGAAAACTTCAGAAGTAAATTTTTCCAGTTTTTAATTCCTTTAAATCCTTGAATATTCTTAATTTTCTTTTTAATTTGAGTAATAATCTCATTCTTCCATTCTTTAAATAGATGTGAAGGTAAGCTAAGTTGAGAATTAACTTTCATGATGAAATTAATACTATCTTTAGAAATACTTTCTATGCAATGTAATTTATTAGGTCTAAACTTCATAACTTACTTTTTTCATAAGATTTTTAATCTCTACTTAATATTCTGGATTTACAAAAATTGAAAAAATTCCCTTATTTTTCGCTATATTATTATTTTTCGCTGTATTATATATTCACATTTTCTTTACCTGCAAACACAAACAATTCCAGTGGGACGTTCATATTCCACTCGTATTTGTAACTTATTTCTATTTTTTAAAGAATTCAAATTCCTAAACAGCCTTTCTGATAACGATTTCAGTAAATTTGAACACAATTATAGATATGTTGATGACATTATTACTTTCAATAATTTTAACCTCATCGAAAACGGCAACATGTACACAAATCGTCTAAAAATAAGTAAGATCAATAAAAAAACAAACAGAAATAGTTTATCTAAGTCTTCATAATCTAACAGAAATTAAACATTTTAATAAAAGAAAAGATTTCAATTTTTCTACTAATAAACTTAGAATTGGAACTCCAACGTATCTAAAAAAAGTTATTGCAAATACTATTATTAACCAAATTATCAGAGTTAAAAAAGTTTACACTGAAATAGAAACACAAAAAGAAGAAATTCTAATTATGACCAAAATTTTAAAAGATAATGAAATTCCTTTAAAATTCATTAATTGCCAATCGCAACGAAATAATGAGGTGCACAACGACAAGTTATA